GTGTGGGGATACAGGGTGTGCATCCACAGGGCACATGAGTGTGTGTATGTGTGTGCAAGGTATGCTTTCCTCACTCTCACACGCAGCCAGCACATGTGCACCACTGGAGCAGCATCCCCAGGGCTGGGGCAATGAGCTGGGGTACTGACACCTATACTGGGCTCTTCCTGCCTTATTACTGGGTTACTTTGTGCTTCCTATGAGACTGCTGCTAGGAGGCTGCTGAGGTATTCCCAGTAATCTCCCGAGGGAGTGGGGAAATACTCTCCAGACAGCTGAGATACTCACAGGATACTTCTGGGATGCTACTGAGATGCTGTCATGAGTTTGCTTGCGTGTGCACGGGCTACTCTAGAGACAGCAGTAAGGTGCTTTCAGAGTGGCACTGAGATACTCTCAGGATACTATGTGCATGCTACAAAAACTCCACTTAGGTACTAGGAGGTCACTACTAAGATACTTCTGGAGTATTTCCAGAGCTGACACAGATAACCGTGTGCAGRTACCACTGGAGCAGCTCTCACACCATCCAGCTCCTCTCCAGATACTCTCAAGTTGCTTTCAGTKTAGTTATGTGGCAGTAAAATAATATTTGGATAATACTTTGTACTACCAGAGTAGTACCAACACACTCTGGAGATAATATCTGTATCCCATTGCACCACCATTAGGATCCTATCAGGACACTCATTAGATACTACTGTGATACTATCAGGGCATTGCAAAAACTGTCACTAGGATGCTAGTGGGATGCTCCTAGGATAAAAGTGCAGTATCAGGAGGATACTTCCAAGATGCTACAAGGACGATGGAAAAGAGAGGGGTAAAATAATTCTGGAATGCTGTCAGGGCAACACTCAAATTTTTGGGATACTGTCAACACATTACTGATACTTTCAGGCCACTTGCTTAGCAGTTGATACAGTATAAGGATACGATTAGGGTACTACCACTTCAGGGAAATAGGTTTTTTTATTATGTTTTTTGCATACTTTCAGGGTAGCACTATCAGCAGTTTGTTGCCACTAGAATAGTGCCACAATACCAGAATATTTCTTATGAAGGTAGTACATCCTGTTTGGATACTACTAGGATACTACAGAGATGCTGTTGGTTGTGTAACAGCTCAGGCAGCAGTGATGGGGGTGGGGAGCTTGGTGGTGTAACCTGTTAGTAGCTGGTGCCTCACGGGCACCCTCTCCCTGCAGCTAAGGTGGCACATCGGTGTTGAGGAGGATGGAGGCGCCCCTGGTGAGTCTGGAGGAGGAGTTCGAGGAGGGGCCCGGGGACGATGGGGGGACCCCGCAGCGCTCTGCGGACCCGGCGCTGGCCGAGCTGGAGAGCTTCTCTGCCGAAATGATGAGCTTCAAGTCCATGGAGGACCTGGTGCAGGAGTTTGATGAGAAGCTCACCGTCTGCTTCCGCAACTACGACGCTGCCACCGAGGGCCTGGCCCCCGTGCGGGGGCGGCTGCAGGCACAGGAGGAGGAGGAGCGCCTGCAGGATGAGGAGTGAGTAARGCCCCCCTGTTCCTGGGGCCACATGCCTCTTCACACCCCTGACCCCCCAGCGTGGTCACGCTCCATGTCGGGAGTAATGCTGTGGTATCCTGTGAGTACGGAGTTCTTCGGGATCTGCCCCTTGCATCACAGCAGAGTTGTGGTATCTTTGAGCAGCTGTGTAGGATCCTGTGAGCAGGCCACCCTTGGGTCCTTGCATGGCCATGAACTGCACCCCTTTCCCACAGCATGCGGTCCAGCTCGCTACTGCGTAGCACCTCTGAGTAGCAGTGTAGTATCTCATCACTAACACCTCTCGGGGGCCTGCTGCTCCTCCTTGCAYGCTTCTGAGCACCCATCACATGCAAATCAGCACCTGGACTGCGGCATGATCATACAGCACCTTGGACTAGCTCTGTAGGATCCTTGGAGTAGCTGTGTGAGGTCCCTGGAGTAGATTCCTATGAGGAGGAAGAGCAGCATGCAATAAACCTTGAGTAGGGTGTGAGTAGAGTTTAGCCACTTCTCTGTACCATGCCAGGGGATGGCCACATTCCCCGGGGTCAAATTCCCCCCTAGGCCCCCCAATTATTAGTGTGCCTTTTCTGTTCCATTCTACAGTTTCATTAAAAACCTTATTTTGTCCCAAAATGTCGTTTTTTCCCTTCAAGTCCTTGGACGTTTTCCTCGTGATGATTACACACTATCACATTTCCAGAGGATTTTTTGCGTGTTTAATTGGAATTAYTCCCCAGGCCAAAATTACTAATCCTTATTTTCACCAGGCAAAGGGGTTGTTTTCAACCCAAAAAGCCCCAAATCTGTTGGTTTTGTTCATTTGTGTTTTTCCCCCAAACCCACTGAGGCTGAATTGATTTTTGCAATTGGCCGAATTCATGGTTTTTCAGAGCAAAACGCAGCTTGGCCGCRCGCCGGGGCTGCCGCGCTGTCGCCGCTTTGTGCCACTTATTGTGTCTTTTTTTGGGTCATTTTGGGCAAAACAGGGCTTTTTTTTTTATTCTGCCTTGAATGAGCTCTGTGTGCAGGGTGGGGGAGGGGCCATCGCCTTACAGGCACTGAATTTCCAGCGTTATTAACCATTTCTTGCCATAATTAACTCAGAAATCACTGCTGAGCTTGKGCTGCTGGTCCTTTAAGAGCAGAGAAAAAAAAAAAAAAGCAAATTTCAGGGGGATAATAGCTGATTCGCTGTGCTTTGTTAAAAAATGGGAGTATAGGGGTTTGCCATCCACATTTTTATATGTTAATTTGTGAAATCTGTAATTTCAAGGGGAATTCAGCCCTGGTGAGGAAGGAATTACGATCCCAAAAATGAGCAGTTTTGGGGTTGGAAAGGGGGCAAGTGGTTTTGGGGTGATTTTCAGGATTAAGATGTGRCACTGTGTTGGACTAAATATTGGACTAAACCTACCATTTCTGCCTGAGTTGGGGAGAAAATTTTTTATCTCTTTYTGTGCCTTTCCCCCCATTTTTGACCTTTTCCCTCATTTTTGGCCTTTTTCTCAATGTTGACACGTTTCAGCTCTTTTTTCCCATTTTCTGTCCTTCTCTGTTTCTTCCCTTTTCTCCACTTTCCTGGACCTTTACCCCRTTTTCCCCCTCATTTTCCCCTTTTTTTTTTAACAATTTCTCCCCATTTCCCTTTTCTCCTGATTTTTTCTTCCCCCTCTTTTGACCCTTTTTTTCCTTTTCCTATTCCCTATTTTCCCCTCTTTCCCTCTCTTTCCCTTTTCTCCTTTCTCCATTTCTCACTATTTTCCTTCTTTTCCCTCTTCCTCATTTTTTCTTCCATTTTCCCCCTTTTACCCAGATTTTCCTTCCCCAGCTTCTTCCCCTTTCCCATTTTTGCCCTTTTTTCCATCTTCTTTACTCCTTTTTTCTCTGTTCTCCTGTTTTCACCCTTTCCTTTTCTCCCTCTTTTCCTTCTCTATTTTCTCTTCCTCCCCCTTTTTCCTTTTTTACCTTTTTTCACTTTTTTCCCCCATTTTTTGGCATTTCTTTGGCATAGCAGGGCAGCTTTTTGGGCATTTTAATGGTAATGTCCCAATGCAGCATTTTGGGGTGTTCTGGGGTATCAGGGCAGTATTTGAAGGCACAGGGAAGCTTTTTGGGGTGGGGTTTGGAGAAAGCTTTTTGACGTGTTTCAGGAACATCATTTTGGAACATTTTGGTCAGTATTTCAGGAATGCATTTTCAGGTATTTCTGGGTGTTAAAAAGTGACATTTTGGGATTTCTGGGGTATTTTGGGGTAGGGATTGAATGGTTGGAACATGAGAGGGTGACATTTTGCAGCTTTAGGACCTTTAGGGGCATTATGGGGTATTTCAGAAGAACATTTGAGGACATTTTTGAGTGTTCCAGGGCAGCACTTTGAGGTGTTTTGGGGCCCTTCAGACAATCTTGGGGCTTTGGGGCAGCTTTAAGATTTTTTGGGCCACTTCAGGACATCATGAAGGTTTTGAGTGGCATTTTGGGACATCTAGAGACATTTTGGGACACCGCTGTGGCCTTTGGGGGTGTTTTGACAGCATTTCAAAATGACATTTGGGGGCATCTCAGGTGCTGGGGCAGCATTTTTGGGTCCTTTGGGGTATTTCAGGGCAGTATTTAATGATGATGCTTTGAGAAGCTTTGGGCTCTTCTAGGACACTGCTTGGGGTTTTCTAGGATATCTTTTGGGGTGTTTTTGGATGTTTCAGGCACCTCAGTGGTGTTCTGGGATTTCTGGAGGTCATTTCAGGTTTCTGGGTCGCATGTTTGAGGCATCTTGGCATGCCATTTGTGGGATGGCTCTCTGAGATGCCCCATTTTGGGATCACCGCTCACCAGCCGCTCCCTGCAGGGTCTGGGATGCTCTCACCGATGGCTTTGCYCCCCGGAGCTCCCCCCGGCCATGGCTGCTCCCTGGGACTGAGGCCCTTGATGGCACCGACCCCCAGGTAGGGCTGTGGCCCCCCCTTGGCTCCCCCAAGCCCCCCTGATCCCCTGATGGTGCTTGACAGCTGTCAGTCATCCCCAAGGCTTATTGACCCTCATGGCACTGCAAATACCCCAAAAATGGTATGGTCTCAGTGCAGCGAGAGTCCACATTTCAGTGGGAAATCCCACCGAAACCAGCAGGATGGTTTGGTTTGACAATCCAGTCTTTACCAGTTTGTCCCCTGTTGGGGGGGGTGGGCATTTTTGGGGGCAGAAAATGTGTTTTTGTTTGTAATGAGTTTGTGCTGTCARTGGGCTGCTTTTGGGGTTGTAAAAATGTCCCAATGTCCATGGGATTTAACCCATTCAGAAGTAAATAAAAGGGGAAGAGAAGATAACTTTCTTGGGTTATTTTCTGCTTAAAAGGTGAAAAGTACAGTGAAAGGTTGGAAAAAAGAAGATGCCTCCTCATGCAACATCTCCATCTGGCATCTCCATCCACCCCTTCCTTCCCTACTGGTGTTTCCCTCTGCCATCTCCCCACTCGTGTTCCCATCCTGTTTCTCCATCATTCAGCTTCTTCCAGCATCACCTCTCCAGCACTCCTCTCCACCCGGCATCTCCATCCATCCCTTCCTTCCCCACTGGTGTTTCCCTCTGCCATCTTCCCACTCGTGTCCCCATCCTGTTTCTGCATTATTCAGCTTCTTCCAGCATCACCTCTCCAGCACCCCTCTCCACCCAACATCTCCACCCAGCCTCTCCACCCAGCACACCTGTGCTTCTTGCTGTCTTCTCCCTGGTCCATGTGTCCATCCATCACCTCTCCACCCCSTATCTCCCTATCCAACATCTCCATCCGTCTCCTTGCAGTTCTTCCCTGTTCTTTGTCTCCAGTGTCCCTGTCTCAGTCCCATCCAACATCGCCCTCCAGTGCTTCCCCATGCAGCATCTCCATTCAATACCCTCCATCCAACATGTCCCCACTCAGTGCCTCCCCATGCCACCCTCCATGTCCCCATGGCTCCCCATGCCAGGGCTGTGTCTCTGTCCTTGCTGAGGCCATGCCCATGCCAGGCTGRGCCTGTGGTGCCACCAAGGCTGCCCAGCCTGTGTCTCCTGCAGCTCGGCGGGAAGGAGGAGGAGGAGGAAGAGGAGGAGGAGCTCACTGAGAGGAGTGAGCAGGACTCTGGGATCAACGAGGAGCCGCTGCTGACAGCTGAGCAGGTACCCCATGGGCACCTGGGCCCCTGTGTGTCCTCCAAAAGCCATCTCAGCCCCATGACCACGAACTGAAAGCACAAGAAAAAGCCAAATCCCATCATGTTGGGATGTGGTATGCAGGACCTGGAATGAGGCTGTAGGCAGAAGTGTAGATTGTGGGGGCCAGTGTGAGATTTGGGTGCATGTGGGGTGCAGATGCTGCTGTACAGAATGGGTGGCATGGTGGGGACGAGAAAAGTGGGGGGCAGAGATGGGATGCAGCTACAGGACACTGGTACAGAGACAGCATGCAGATGTGGGGTGTGGGATGCAGATGTGGGGT